ACCCCTGGTCTGTTGGGGTTGGGGTGGTGGTGGGGGGGGTTTGTTTTTTTTTTTTTTTTTATAACTTCTGCTCGGAAATGTTTCTGTCACGCTGCTGTCGCTCCGAAGCGCGTCCGACTGACGCGTCAGACAGGCGTTACTCCGTGCCTTGTGCTTGCTGCACAGGGGTGGCGATTTGTGTGCAGAACGCTGTCGGATCCCGGTGAGGAGCGCGAGGGAGGTGTATTCCGCCATGAGAAGCAGCTTACAAAAGCAGCTTTATCACTTCCCCTCCAAGAACTAGGTTTATTCACGCGGGGCTGAAAAGAGAATTCCTGGCCGCGGGCGTTTCCCCGCCGGATTGACACTGGTGCGTGGGCACACGCGTCCAGCAAACAGCGTCTGTTCTTCTTGGGGTAGTTTTACTGGAGCCCCTAATTTTTTCTCAGGTCTGTCTTTGAATTTTATGTCTTTGTGTAGCGCTGGACGGTGCTTTAGCACATCCAGCAGCGTAAATCCATGTTTGATGGTAACACTCTTCATTTTAAAAATTCATAAAATACCATACGGCATGCTGATTATTTCCTATTATGACACATGGGTGGCAGCAATACATTCGAATATTTTTCTCTGTGTTAAAGAGTTGTCTTTGCTCTATTCTGTTTCTAAAATGAGAAAAATTGAGGGTAACTAGTTGATGAAACAGGAAGATTGGGTCAAAAGGTTTGATGCCTTATAACTCAATTTACCCACCCAGAAATGGGAAAATTGTGTGTGCTGTGTTACCTGCGTAGTGGGGTATTTTTCCAATGAACCTGTAGCATACGTATCTAGATAGCATGTCTTTAAACTTCTGTTTTTGCTCAAATAATACTGGAGTATCGCATTGTTAATACCTGTGAAATAATCTGTATTTACAATTCTCTGGCAGGCAGTTCCGTATTCCAGGGAATTCAAACAGAAATATGACTATTTCCGGAAGAAGTTGAAGAAGCCAGTGAGTAGAACCGTGCTGCTGTGGGCTGGGGTCCATTACGGTGTATCTGGGAAGAAAAAGCACCCATCTGAAGGGGTAGATGTAGAATGGTGGTGTATCTTCTTACATCACACTTGCCAATTTTTGCTGATCTTCCTACTAAAGGAGTTAAGTAGAGCCAGAAAACTGAGGCAAAGTTTGAATTTGACTAATGGATTTCTGGACAAAAACATTTACAAGTCTTGAAGGCTCATATTTTCCTAGAAAATCAAAGCAATGGGGCTGCAAAGAAGTAGCAGTGATTCGCTGTTTCCCACTGCACCTGAGACTAATTGGTGTGCTAGCTGACGAGCCTTTAGGCTGAAAACGGGCTTGAGGGTTTGCTGTTTCTCCTTCATCTTCCACAGTGGACTTCCAAGGGCAGAGCTGAAGCAGGTTGGCAGAGCGAGCCCAAGGCTGTGCCAGAGCACGTGCTTCTGGTGCTCCTCTTCTGTGGAAAAGTATTTCCAGTATCATCTTTAACTTAAGAGAGTGTTCAGTATTAGGTCTTCTGTGATACCGACTTGTAATCGAGAGTAAACGGCCTTGGCAGCAGCAAGTTCTTGGCCTGTATGTTGGTAGCTCCCTACGTTTTCATCTTTAACTGCGAGAGACTACATCTTTTCTGACAATATTAAAATGTAATACTTCACAGGCACTTCGAGTATTAGGTGCTTGGACACGCTAAGACTCTAATTGGCAGTAAAAAAGCAAACCTTCAGAAACAGGTTTTTTTCAAGTCAATTTTATCAGGAAAACTACACCTGGCTATAAACGTCATGCTTGTCTGTTCATCCACTCTGCTGCTGCTGCTTTCTGCAACTTCTCTTACTTTTTAACTCAGTTCTCGTCCATCCTTTCTGCATGTAGCTGCCTGGGTTAAACTGTAACGGGTGTTAGCTCTCTCAGCTTAGACAGAACTCATAAAGCCTGAACTCTTAAGACATTTTGGCAGTGCAATGCTGCTTGTTTACGTCTTGGCAATACAATTCTGGTGTGTTTATGGCACTTTAAGTGTTCTTATTGTGCACCCGTTCTGGCCTTTACCTATATCTGAGTGGAAGGACTGCATACCGCTTTTGCGTGTCTTATCATTTTAAGTGAAAATGCCCTTAAATAGGGCATAGCAGTATCAGTCATTTTCTCCCTCTCGTTGTTTTGTCAAATACCGTAGAAATGATTGAACTGCTATAGTGGAATTTATGCAGCTCACTGTAAGCTGTCATCTTGTAGACGTAGAGAGCACTGGAAAACAACGAGCAAGGGGAAGCTTCGTAATCTCTCGATTAGCTGTTAACCACCGATGAATAGTTTGTCTGAAGGCCGTTTATTGAGACTAACAAGTGCAGTATCTCTCCTTTCACACAGGCTGATATACCGAACAGATTTGAGATGAAGCTACACAGGAATAATATTTTTGAGGAGTCCTACAGAAGAATCATGTCTGTGAAGAGACCTGATGTGCTAAAAGCCAGGCTCTGGATTGAGTTTGAGTCAGAAAAAGGACTTGACTATGGTGGTGTGGCCAGAGAATGGTTCTTCCTCTTGTCCAAGGAGATGTTTAATCCTTATTATGGTCTCTTTGAATATTCAGCAACGTAAGTGTCCGTTAAAATATTTCCATTTGTAAGTGGTACACATTCAGTTTTGTGTGGGAGATGAAGTTAAATTGGAGAATAGATAGATGATCCTTCGTGATACACGGGTATATACTCTTAACCAGTCCAACCTCTGTTCCGTACTATCATTTCTTATTTTTATTTCAGGAAACCTTTCAAATTGCCACTGAAATCTCATAAAACATTTTCATTATTACGACAGTGTTCACCACTGCCTTGCTTGCAGCGGGTGGTTTCTGAGGCTAGCAGTAGTGAGAGGAGTGGTGCCAGGAGAAAGCATTTCTCTGTGCCCTCCCCGTACCTTGTAAAGCACGAGCGCTCCAGAAATGCAGAGCTCCTTTGTCATTCCCTTATGAACCGCCTTCTCGGTTACATTTCAGTACACTTACACCTGTGGCCTCAAATGAGTTTAATTGTATTTTCGTCCTATTTTGAAGTCCCTGAGCAATGCATTCATGTAAATGAGAAAGCAGATCTCATTTGCTTAAAGTACATCTATTTTAGTCTGCTCCACGTAACTCCACGTCACGTACTCAGCTACAGTAAGGATGGATTTTTTAATTGCAGGTAACAGTTTTGATGTTTTCTTGTCGTTACCAAGCTCACTCCTTTTCTAGCAAGTGTTGCATAGGTTGTAAAGTAGATGAGCAAAGGCTGTATGACGAGGGGTTTCTCTCTTTGGTGTCTCAGAAAAGACGTCCTGTGGTTGGAGGGAAGCAGAGCTTACAAAACATTGTTTAGCTCAGAATGCCTGTGCATTAAGAGATTTCACTGGATAATGTTTGCCTTTTGAAATACTACTTTCACTTATGGAGGTATATGTCACTACAGATATTTAAAAAAAAAAAAAAAGTTATTTCATTTTAGGTTCAATTTGATGGAAAAGTACAATTTAAATTGTAAAAATTCACATTAGGTTGAGACTTGTTATCAGCAGTAAAAATAAATAAAATTTACTACAGGTGGCATATTTTTTTACTGATGTTGCTGGGAGAGACCCTAGAAGAAACAATATTTCTTCTAATTCTCCATTGCATAATTTTGATGGAAAAATGAATGTAAAATTAATTCTGGGGAATGTTTGTACATCCAGGGAATAAACATTACCTATCCTACAGTTACTCATTTACACATTACTGTACAGACCATTATATTAAGTCTCATCAATTGTATTTAGTCTGCAAAACATAAAATAGGACTTAGTTATGGATTTTTAGGAGTCTCTTACTGGGCTAGAGAATTTGAAATCCGTAGAGATGTCACAGGAACCTGGAAGTCACCAGCTTAGCTCTCACCGACCCTTCCTGAGCTAGTCTTTCGGACCTGGTTTATTCGGAGAAGAGACTCTGCACTGTCCGAGTGTGGCTGTCCTCTCGTTTTGGATGTGCCTGAGCGGGTGACCGGGCTCCCTGCCTGCATGACTCTCTGCGCTTTTAGATTTCCTGTTTCTTGCGCTCGTCAGATTTAATCTTCCGTGAAGGGGGCTGTGCCGGCCTCTCTGCTGCATGAAAGCCTTGCATCACTGAAAGCAGTAAAACTTTGCCATCAGCTTCAGACCGTCTCTGAAATTGTGTTAATCCCCTAGGGCATAATAAAAAGCTGGCAAAGGACCAATATCTTTTACCTGGGTAACAGAATACCAAGTCCGGTGTGAAAGAGCATGTCACAACAAGATATTAGTCTAAAAGCAGTAATTTTTTATTTGTAGCATAGTCTTAATCTGTGAAAGAGATTTTTTTTTAAAGTAGATGTTTTTCTTATTCATTAAAACACCTACAGTTAGATTGTGTACAGTAGTGACAAGTTTTAAATTCTGCACTAACCCACATGCTTCAGAAGCTGTGGTGACACCTCTTGAAGTCCAGTCATCATTTGTCAGCGCATGGGTTTGTCTTCCCCGTTTTTTTTTGCCCAGGGTCCCACTTCAGTGACATTCAGTGATCCCATAATGGGAGACATGTTTAGTAAAAATGACTCGTGCAGGGTTTTGTGTGTGGTAGGGCAGTATACGGTGCTGCCTACAAGAAAGCTGTTTTTGTTGTGTACCTTACAGTAGGTAGGCACAGCTGGACTCGTGTTACTCCACAAGGGGGAATATTAGTAGCCTTTGCCAAATAGTCACTGTGGTCCTACCGGGACAGTTGTGTTTAGGTCAGCCTGTCCACAAACTGTAAGATACTTCTGTTAAGTAGTGAATAAACCGGAGTATTACACTTTTGCAAAAGTAGCCAACGAATTGGACCTAAGCTCCAAGTTTTATTAACATGTCTCAATATCTGGTTATTTAAAGACTTGGCCTTATTTAGATACTTTTTTTCTTCTTTTCTCCCCCCAAAAAGGGACAACTATACACTTCAGATTAATCCTAATTCAGGTCTTTGTAATGAAGATCATCTGTCGTATTTCACGTTTATTGGACGGGTTGCTGGTCTGGCAGTATATCATGGGAAGTTATTAGATGGTGAGTTGTTACACTTTATGGCTGTCTTACTGTTACTAGGTTTTTATTAAATGAAATAAATCACTTCAGTAATTCATATGCTTAAGAGTGTGTAGTATTTCAGGAGACAAAGTCTGAGTGAAAGCAACGGAACTGGAACCTCTAGAAATTGCATTACTGCTTTGAATGGTGACTTTATCAAAATGACAGTGTCTTGCTCAGCAAATGTGTTTCATATACAACTATGTTTTGTTCTTTATTCCACTCTTGCTAACCGTACAGAATCAGCATTGCCAAAATAGCTGTATCCCTAAAGGGAAAAATTACTAAATCTGTATCCACCATTTCTGTGCAAACCAGCTGAAGCCAATGAAGCTGCGCAGATGCCAATTACAGGAAAGTTCATACTCATTGATTTAATGAGAAAAGATTTCTGCTCAACTTTGAAATCCCAGAATAAGCCAGCAAACAGACTTTATAAACTGACTGTATTTTATTTAGAGACAACGCAGCACCACAGCGGAGGCTCACAGTGGTACTTATCTAGCGTTTCCTCGGAGAGAAGAATGGCACTTTTAAATGGCACTCTAATGTACTCTGAGCTCAATTCCTCGTCTTTTATGTCTCTCTGCCTTACAGCTCTTACATTACTTACACTGGCATGATTCTTGTAATTGAAAAACTGATCCTTCTGTGCCTAAATAAAAATGAGGCTGCTGGGTTAACTTGGGCAGTTACAGTGCTGTTGCTGGCAGGAGATTTCTTTCCCATGGGCAAGCCATGAAGTACTGTGGTGTATCATCCTTGAGCGGTCGTGTCTTTGTGTAAGGGGAAAATGCAGAACAGTGGATGTAATGCTCGTCCCTCTATTTTAGGCTTCTTCATCAGACCTTTTTACAAGATGATGCTGGGGAAACCAATAACTCTGAAAGACATGGAGTCAGTGGTAAGATAACACTTAAACCTTACCGGCATTAGCAATTCTGTGATTTTTTTCTCTGGGAAGATTTAGAAAAGCTAACAGTTCCAGGAAACTGCATGGTGGAAAACACAAGGTTAGAGTTGCAAGAGCTTGAGAAAGATACCTACTTATTTTTTTAATAGAACAATTTTTCCCTGCTAGGACAGCAGTTTCAGGAGCAGTGCACTAACAGTGGTTAGGGATGAGGGAGAAGAGATGAGTAGGCCAGTAAGACACACAGCGTAAGGTGCTAATTACGGTTTCAGGTTTTCCACTGTGTCAACTTTCTCCCTGCTATAAGCAGCACCATAGATGGTTTCTACCGCTTTTCGGTTGCGTTATGGGAGCAGGCAGAGGCGATGCCAGGGCTTGGCTCTGACCTGGCGAGTGAGGGAAGTCACCCGCGGTGCTGGAAGAGAAAAGTGTTCCCAAATGATGAATAGTTTTCCCCAAAATGTACTTGATGAGTGCAACATGGACTGTGCCCTTATTTATGCTTCAGTTTGGTTCCCTGCACTTTCTCCACCTCCAGTCCTTCAACATGAGTTGCTGTCAAGGACTTTGGAGTTCAGAGCTTCTTGGGGGAGAAAACAGTTGTTTTACCAGGTAGTAGTCTCTACCTTTGTATTGTAAAATGAAGGACAAGGATAAAAAGGATCTCTCAGATCCCCAGTCTAGACACGTGTTCTGGTACCAGTACTCTACCAGTACCGCATGTACTGTACCAGACGGTACATTTCAGATATATACAACAGCTAAATAACAGCTTTTACCTCATTACACAAAACAGTTTATCTGGACAGGAGCATCCCAGGCAGCCTCCAGCGTATCTCTGAGGCAGGACTTGGGTGTGAGCCCGGCCGCTCACCTGCATTTCCCTGAGACTTTCCTCACCGAGAGCCGGGTGACTCTCAACCCCGGCGCAGAAGCAAAATTGCAGAGGGTCGGATGGCTTGTGCTCAAGTGCAGACTTCAACCCAAGCCGATATGATACATATCCAGAGAGATCTTAGGATTAGATTCAGGCCCTCAGAATCAAACCCTATCTGTTGTTCCTGCAGCTAGCTGGGAGAGCTTTTCCTCTCATAATTCTTAGCTTTGCAGTAGTTTTTCTTGATATTGTCGAAAGGATACCTGGTAGAAGGAGAATAAAATGCGGTTGATTCTTGCTGGTGTTGTAGAGTTTGACAGATTTTCAGTCACTGACATAAACACTGGTTCAGCTGCTTAGTCTCTGCTCCAGCTCCCGCTCTCTCTATTATAATCACTAAATTTTGGCAAGTCATTCTTTTGTTGAAGCATACATGACTCAGTAACGTTTTAAGTTTATTTTGAAATTAAACTTGTGATTGTTATGGCTCTTTTGCTTGGAAATGTTTGCTGATAGCTACATGTACACTTCTTTCCTTTCTTGACTCATTCTTTAATTATGAAACTAATGCAAGGTGAAGATGCAACCCAGGAAATTAGAGGGTGTCTTGAATTATTGGTGTAATGAAATGATACATAAATTTTGTTGAAAAGAATGCTCAGTTTTATCTGAGAGGAGATTTGCTACCCAATTATTACCCACTGCAGTATACCTAAGTGCCAAGCATATATGGAGGTTCTGATTTACAGTATTGTATAACATGATTCCAAGCCAATTAAGACTAGTTACTTAAATCTAAAAATATAGCATCTAAGAAAAGTGCAAATGAATAAAGCAATCCATCTCACCCTTCTTTACCGTAGCTGTGCAAATCAGTGAGTCCTCATCCTTCCAATCTCTTTGCCTTCTAGTTTTAGATTTTTTTTTTTACTTGTTTATTTTAAAATTAAGTTGTACCTTGAATCTTCACATTTATAAATGTAATCTGCTGTAGGATAGTGAATACTACAACTCTTTGAAGTGGATCCTGGAAAATGACCCTACAGAGTTGGATCTCATGTTTTGCATAGATGAGGAAAACTTTGGACAGGTATGTGAAAGTTATCTGAAAATCTGTACTTCCGTCTTACTGTTGGTTGCTGCCAAAAAGTAACTAAATACTGAGCAGTATCTCATGGTTTGTGAACTCAGTCAGAACCGCAGGTTGTTACTGATCGGAATAGGCAGGCTTTAAATCCTAGCCTGTCTGTCTTCCTGAGCTATCTAAGGATGAAGATTAAACTAAAGAAGGAAATTACATTCTTTCCAGTGAGCAATGCCACATCTTTCTGAAAAGCAGTGCTTCCAGCTGACCAAAATACTCACAGTAATGGGTTAATAAGGAAGATGTTGCACGGTATTTATTAGAAAGTAGTCTCAACCTGGGCTGATTTGGGGTTCTATAGGTTGAAGCTATTCTGGAAGGACAAGGTAAGTGGTAGAATTAAAATCAGTGAAGTGCTTAGTTTTATCTTTTGGGTTATATAGTCAGATGATACAGCAAAAAGAAGCACATTTTAAAAAGGTGCACAGTCCATGGATAATTCTCTGTTACAACCCAAAAGTGTTACATGTATATTTAAAAACTGAGAAACGAGTAGACGACAATGTGATTTGTCGCCTGAAGCCATAATTCATTTTATCAGAGGAAGCTGTAGCAGCAGCTTACGCTACGGTTTGTCTTCGGTTTATAGTCAGCCTTTACGGATAATCCTGTTAAACCAAACTTCAGGGATCTGCATCAGTTTCTGGATGTGAATAACTTGGGAACAAATAAATGTCCCATGAATAGGTATACATGTTAAATTGTATTGAGGACCTAAAGGCAAATCAGTCATGGTTTGTTTTACATCATCATGGAACTTATTTGCCTGCCAGGGGTAGGCCGCCTTTTTGTTTTTTGTGTTATTTTTTGTGTTTTCTTTGTTTGGTTCAGTTTGGTTTTTTACTAGCTGAACCGTTTTGTGATGTATGCATACATTTAATGACAAAACATATTGTATTTTGTATAACATTACAAATTTATAATACTTAGATGTGTTTCTTATTTAATTTGTTTATAAGCATTTAAGTCTTTTTTAAGTGTCTTCAGTCTGTGTTCACCTCTCAGGCTGGTATCTCTTGCCTCCAAGTCCCAGTCTCTATATTCAGGGCCTCAGTAGTTTTTTTTTAAACGGGCTGCAAAGTTTCAAAGCATAAGCACACAACGTACTGTCAAGAACATTTCGATCCGTTTCTCAATGTGTACTTCTTTTTTCCTCCATTAACATGGAAACTAATAGAAAATACATGGCAATTACCTGTATTTTCCATTACATGTTACGTGGAAAATAACGAGAACAGTAATGTCACAGGAAGAAAAGTTCTTGCAATGCGCTGAAATGTTTGTTGGTTAATTTTTATTATTTTCTATTCTGTAATGATTTAACTTCAAATTATTCGTAGTGAATTGTCTTTTACTGCCAGTTTTCAATTTGGCTGGCAGAAGTTAATTCTCTGACTTCACGTCAGGCAACTTGCTGGCAATGTTTCTTGCTCATCTAACTATTTAATCTTTCTAATAGCTAATTTTGTTATTGCCAGCAAATTTAATCTTGATTTAATTTACAACAGATGCATATGATTCCAAAAAACATTCATCTTTTAGACTTCATTCTTCAGCAATTCAGCTCTGCATAAGCAGCGAGTAGATCCTTGCTAGGGAGTGACACATCATAACAACAACAGCAGCAAAACTGCAGACATATCCAGGGTGTCTATCCTTCCACTTTCAGGGAAGCTTTACAAACTGCCTTTATAAATAGCTACAGGTTGAGACTCCCTGATTCATTTCTTAGTCTACCTTCTTCCTATTAAAGCTTTCTAAGCATTGTTCTTCTGTACGTAATGGGGTGTAAAACAATTAACAGGGTTTATAATTTCTTTTATCTTGAACATAGCACGTGTGGGTTGTTTTTTAAAGCTCCCTGGATACAACTATAATAACAGTACATGAGGCAGTCTTTCTTTCTCCTGCTTAGAGAAAGAGATAGTTTTTTGGAAATAAATGCATCACAAAGTGTCTTAGTTACTGTTTTCAACGTTTCTTCTCACCTTCTTGCCCCTAGAGTCCTTCCTCATAATATGGCAGGTATATATAAATTTTGGAGATTAAAGTCTTTATTAATCTAGGAATCCACAAAATGGAGTAATCCTCTGCAATCTAGGAACCACAAAATGCTGCAGCAGCAGCACAAGTTCCAGTTCTGTACTCCGATTACACGGTAGTTCAAGTTGGTGCGTAGAGGACATGTGCTCATTCAATGCCCATCTTATTAACAGAAACATCACTGCTTGCTCTAATTGTTTTAACGTAGATTTCGGGGACTGAGCTCATAGCAGAGTCTTCCTGTATCTCAGAGGGACGTGGCGGTTTTAGGTAGCTTTACAGCAGTAGTGATGAATGAATTTTTAGTTCTCTTGACTAACTCCTGTTTTAACTTATATATATAAGCTCACTGAGTCGCAAATCCCAATAGCAGTAAATACAATATTGTTTCCATCATACTTCTGGTGAAATGCAAAATTGGCACATGACAAATCTTAACCCCAAAAAGCCTGAAGAAGCCCGGTAGTGCAAGGGTAGGATCTGATGTAGTGAGCAGGAATCCATCTAACCAGAGGCATCTTGTCAGCCAGAATGCATATAAGAGGTTTCCCAGCAGTTCAGAAATTGTAGAATATGGCAAATACCGACTACTCATTACAGCACCAGTTGCTTCTGGAGGTGCCACTGGCCACAGTCCCCAGTGCTCTGGGAACTGCTAGAAGTCAAGAGATCTTGACTCACTGTTGACACTTCATTTGCCTTATCTGTTGCTAAAACTACTAAAACTGGATAGAAGTGCCCTTGGGAAAACTGTTTAAGAGATTGACCTGCTTCCACAAGGACGTGGGGACATAGGAGTGAGATATCTGCATTGCTGTTAGCGTCACTGTTTCTTTATACTTCATTTATTACCCAAATGTTTTGTGGCGTTAGAAAAAAAAATTAATGAAGCCTTTCTAGTTGTTACCCTTCCTTTCTTAATAACCAACAATGGGGTTTCGGTAGTTCTTACTCTTTAGTAGGAAGTTCTTATATACAAAACAAAATGCAGTAGATATTTTCAAGATGTACAGGATGGAGAGTGTTCTTCAAAAGTAGAAGTATCATCTTAATGGCTCTGAAATATTACTTGTCATTTCTTAAAAGCAACATATCTTCCAGTGGGCAGAAAGAAACAAGAGCCAAAAATCCTTCTGCCATCTGTGTGCGCCATGATGTCTGTAATCTTAATATCTTTATCCTGTTTAATCTTGAAAGTAGAGCAGCCCTTTTACTGCTTAGTTCTGGACTGTCTTCTCTGATCTTTGTGGAACTACAAAACTAGAAATGTTTCAGAGGCGTGCAGCTTCCACGTTAATAGCTTTCTGTTAATAGTATAGTCCTTTATTTTTTTCCACATGATAATATGCATACTTATCCAAATAGACTTACTATTCTGTTTTTCTGTTTATTGACGCATTCAGTGTTAAGCCAGTCCTGGAAAGAGCTTTCCAACCTTCTTCTTTCACAGCTCTATTTTTTAGTAAATGAGTTTACTATCTTACCCTTCCCCAGCCAGAACATCTGATTTAATCATGCTGAGATTAGTAATGGCTCAAAAAAGGCTGTGCTGGATTTGGGTGCGTAGGCACGTCTCGGTTACTGCTAGCAGCACCGTGCTTTCGAACTGATGGTGCAAGCTGAACGGAACAGAGCAACGACGTAAAAACAGTGAAACAGTGGATTTTCCTCCTCTGCTACCCAAGTGAACAACTGTCCCAACTACGCGTTCTGTAGGAAAAGGGAATGAAACCTTGTGCCTGCGCTATGTGTTAACCCCAGGATCTGCATTCAGATGCTGCTGCTGTGGAGCATATTGTTTGGTAGCTCTTTTGTATGTGCACAAAAATAGCTACCAACTTTTGTGGTTGCCATGGCTTTCATGGTACCCACCCAGCATTAATTCTGTTCAATTCTTGCTGATGAATTGCTTTATTCAGAAATCAATGTCTTGTTTGCCCTACGGTACGTTCTTGTGAAGTGTAATAAATGTGGTCACCATAGAACGTAAGATTGAAAAGAACAATCTGTAAAGATTTTTCAATCTTATAATCTATGGTTTCGGTCCTTATTAAAATGGAATATGTATTTTCATTACCCAAGTGAACCTGCTGTTCAGGGCTACAAGTTTGCTATTGAGTGGTTTGTTTGTCTGTTCGCTAGCTAATGAATATGAGAGAGTGTTCTTACTTAATGACGTTATCTTTAAATGTGGAATATCTTGATGTCCCTAGCCCTTATGGCGTAATAATATTATGATACTGCTCTTAAAACACTGCTCAAGAGTAGTGGATTTCATGAGAAATAGGTCTGAAATAATGTCATATGTTTTGTTTTTTCTTTTGAAATACAGACGTATCAAGTTGACTTGAAGCCAAATGGGTCAGAAATCATGGTAACAAATGAAAACAAAAGGGAATACATTGAGTACGTATATATTTATGGAATTTATCCAGAGCGTAACAAAGCACAGTAGTGTTTGTCTTGGAATGTAAACTGCCGCAGTTACTGCAGCGGTGCAGCCCAACAGATCATCAGTGAAAAGAAAAGCCTTTTATTAACATAGTTTGTTTACATACTAACGCTTAGCAAGTTTGAATGTTAACATTAATTGTTCTGCAAATTACACTAATGGAGGTAGAGCATGACGTAATATGAAACACACAGTATTTTCTTGATGATCAAGATTTTCTTGATTTTCATGAGGAGCATTCAAGAATGGGTGGGATTGCTCTCAATGAATTACTCACTCTGGGCTCCCTTTAGAGTTGATGAAAAAAAAATGGCACATCTTGGATGCAATAATTATAAGGTTAAACTAGGCATATGAATTTCACCGGATTTCATGCCTGTTACTGTCTGTTGACTAAGCGCCATGGGCAGCTAGCTCTGCTTTGTAAACCTGCAGTGTAGTGATGAATTTCCACCATGGGATTTGCAGTTTTTCATGACGGACTGCAGGGTCACAGAATACAAATCGAGTCCAGATCTGAACACTAAACTGGCTAAAGAGAAAGGAATGGAAATAGGATAGCAAACAATTTATCAAGTTAACATTTGCTTGCTGTTTTCGTCCACGTTCAAGGGCGGGCTCAGGAGATCTGTACGTGTTTAAGTATTTTCCTCCTAAGAGGAAAACTCTGTACTGGTTTGCTGATGTCATTGGCAGTGTTGTATTACAGCGACCTGACTGTAATGGGGGAACAATAACAATTTTCTGCTTTTATGAATTCTTTTTCACTATTGCTTTGATGGTGTGGAATATGTTTATGCTGTCAACGCTTCAGTTCTCCAGGCATGTCAGTTGTGCTTTCAGATGCAAAATATCAGACTTCATAACCTTTTTTTTTTTTTTTTTTAAAACCTCTGTCATCTCAATACACTGCCGTAAAGAAAAGCTCCTTGAAAATGTGCAGTTCAAGATGCATAACTGAATTAGGCATACATCTAGATATTTCTTGCATGGCTAGCCTTAATATTGTTTTATATCTTTAAAATCAACAGTTTTGTTTGCTTTCTCTCATTTGGAAATGGCATATGTAAATCAAAGTCCTTCATATAATTTTTCCCTGGAATTCCCTTATGATAGCACTATTCAACTATACTAATTTGTATGCTAAAAAAAAAAAAAAGTCACAAGTATAAACTTATTTTTGCTTCTTTGTCTTCACAAACACCTAAATGGTGCATTCTCGCGCCTGTGTAGTGCTCATGTGGTATAGTGTGTGAGAAAATCTCATATTTCATTTCCTTTTTTTATTAATATATAATATTTTTTTCAGGAAAGAATGAAAACATAAACTGACTAAATAGCTCCTAATTAAAAATCTATTTCAAATTATTTCTAAGTATTGTGAGTAACCTTCAAATGAACACTATCCAATGTTGTCATGCTGTTTTTGAAAATTCCAGTTTACATATACATTGTCCAACGTAAGAACAAAAATAGAATAAATTAATTGAGCAGTTTGTTTTCTCTGAAATCCCCTACATAGTCAGGAAACATGCTTCCCCAAAGGTGACCCAAAGCTCCTAAGTTAAGATGAGCCCAAAGCTGCTTGCTAGAGTGGCCATCGTCCCATCGTCTTTCTCTGCTGGGTTCACAGACCACATCCGTGATTTTGGTACCTAGTACCACTCTCAGAAATTGTCCGAATTTAAACAGGCTATTTGTGTTTAATTTTAAGCTTCCTCAGTTTTTCTGCCTACCAGAGTATAAAATATTCAATTCAGCAAATATTTGCTGGCCTTTTTAATAAGTACCTCCTCAAAGTGATGAGCAAACATTATAACTGTAATAGTCATGCAAATTAGGCATGCAACTTGCTTGAGTAGGAAAGTAATTGGATTTCTAAAGCACTAACCTGTAAGGTATTTATGCAGTAGGTAATTATGCACTGAAACACAAGCAGTTTCTGTTGATACTGCAGTTTTTATTCATCTGTCTATCTAGCTTTTTATTGACAGACTGTTAAATCTAATTCTAACTGTCCTCAAATTTTGCAGACTTTATTGGGCATTGTTAGTTACCCAGAGCTTTGGAGGAATAAAATGTCTAGTTATTTAGATAACGAATATTAAGAGTAAATACAACGTCCGGGGTCTAAATTACAGCCTTACTTAGAAAAAAATAAAACATAGTCAAGAATTTCTAGGCCATTTGAGTCCACAAGCAAGCCATTTTACCATGTTCATCTTTGAATTAATATCCAGAGGAACCAAAAGATTAATGGCATGTCCTCTGCTAGCGTTGCATCAAAAGTTTTTAGTGATAAAGAAAGGTCATATCTAAAAAAAAAAAAATTGATATATATGGGCAGAGTTTTAATGTCACATGCTAAAGTGAAAATATTCATTGCTAATCTTCTTTATACTAGTCAGTAGTTTTTTTTTTTAACAATTTGAAAAGTCACAAAAGATAAATGTGAGCAATTAATAACAGGCTGTTTATTTGCATGTCTTTCATAGACAGGGAAACTTCCGCAGGAATTTGAGAGATTTTTCCCTTCCCAAGTCCTGTTTCCTTACAGCAGAGTATAGTGGGAGCTAACTGAAACTGTAAATGAGAAACTGAAAATATTGGGGTAGCTAAAATCTCTAAACACTTTGTTTTCAGTCTTCTGATGAATGTTTGTTTCTCTACTGTAGCCTCGTCATCCAGTGGAGGTTTGTAAATAGAGTTCAAAAACAAATGAATGCTTTTCTGGAGGTAAGGTTCTTTTAGTTGCTGTGTTTCACCCCAAAAATCTTTTAAGTTTATGGATGTTTATTGAGAGTCCAGAGTAAATGTTTTTTTATGCAGACTTTTTATACATCAGTGTCTGGATTGAGGGAGTGGGGAGCTTTGCAGGGCTGCACGAGCTCTAGAACGCTTCATATTTTATGGCTTCATATTTTTCCCTTCATAAGGTCTTTTCTCTTTCAAGTTTATATTACTTGAACTTGAAATCATTTAGCGACTAATTTTTAAATTAGAGATTCATAATACTTTCACAACTGTATATTTCATTTACTTCCCTTCCCTGAAGTCAAAGATCTTGCTAAATAAAAACTTAGTTGTACATGGTATGAGAATTTTAACTTCACTTTGCTTTCTTTTAGGGATTCACAGAGCTTCTCCCTATTGATCTGATAAAAATTTTTGATGAAAATGAGCTAGAGGTGAGTACATTTTAACTGACGTCTAGAGACAATTGCATTATATTCTGGATTCACTAAATTACAAGTTTGTTGGTAGCAAAGGTGCTTTCTTATGGTGGGAAATGAGGATTTTTTTCCCTCTAATGAATCAATTTAATTAAAAAAAAAAGCACAAAAATATTAATTATTCAGTGAGGCAGTTGAGTATGTGAAAAATTGCATGCTGAATTAAAGCCATTATGCCTGCATTGGCCTTATGTGTTTTGAGCAAAATGCTACAGAGAAGCCCAACTCTCCTTTATATTCGTAGAGCGTAGCTGTTGAAAAGGGCGGACGAGAGGGAGAGGTTACCAGGTTTTTTTGTTAGCGCGCGCAGGATAGCACCACCTTCAGTTAACACCCTAACAATTACTTCCCCGTATAGTTGCTGATGTGTGGCCTTGGAGATGTTGATGTTAACGACTGGAGACAGCACACTATCTACAAGAACGGTTACTGTCCAAACCATCCTGTTATCCAGTGGTTCTGGAAGGTAATACTGTTTACTGCATTTGACTTCCCTGTATTTCGGAAAGTCAGAGGTACCTTGCTGTGTTGCGGGGTCTGTTATGAAATCTGTCTGCTGTCTTCACGAGACCTGCTGAAGAGTACGTTTTTGTATGCAGGAAATGACAACCGTGGCACTCATGAGAAGCTGTACTAGAAATAGACCCAAGCTATGAAGTCTGGATCTTTGGTTTTATCTAAAGCGTCTTGAAATATTTGTGAAGTAAAATATTTTTCTGAGAAGCACATGTTCACAAAAAAACTACTAAAATATTTTTTCACGTAACGGCAATAGGTTTTTACTTTTCAAAGGGGTGGCTGTTTTTCTTAAAATTACGGGAATTTTGTAGCTTTGTACATACATTCAAAGTTCATTTCTGGGTTTCTTACATCATTTTCATGACCATGTATGGTATAAATGAAGAATATGTACTTGTACTAACAGTCACCACACTACAATGATATGAAGTTTCACTAGTCTGAGTGGTGAGATGGTCCCAAAAGTTTTGACTCCGAGGTCCTCCTATAGTGTAACAGCAGTCTGGGGTTTTTTTTGAATCTTTGGATTTGCTTTTGTCTGATCTTCAAGGTATTTCTGTCTTCTGTGTTTCTCTACTCTCTCTGTCAGAGAATAAATTTATAAATCTAATGCATCCGTTGTGCACCAAAACGCTTGGCAGGTAAGGGTTACAGATTGCCCAAAGGAAAGGCACCTCACAGAGGCGCAGCCGGTTCGTAGCACCAGCTGCTGCCAGGGCAGTGTCTCTTTCTTTGTTTTGGCACACTGGCAGTTAGAAAAGGATGCTCCTTATTTAACCGTAGAAAACTTGGCATGCTACCCATATGACAGCTTTCAAAGTCACATGTCTAAGTTTTGCACAAATAAATTTACTCAGTTGTTTCTTTTTTTTTTTTTTTTTTTTTTAAACAATGGCATCTACAGCTACATTAGTGTACAGGCAGTGACTGTGTGTGTTTGTCAATAGGCTGTTTTACTGATGGATGCTGAAAAACGGATTCGATTACTGCAGTTTGTTACTGGGACGTCACGCGTGCCTATGAATGGATTTGCTGAACTGTACGGTGAGCTGCTTTCCATTGCCCACAGATTACATTCAGTTCTAGAGTGGCTGCAGGAACTTATTCACAGCACGTCAAGGAGAAAACCTGGGCACTGCTGGAATACAGTAATAGCCAACCTTTGACCCCACCGTAAGATTTCTCCTTCCTGATGCTGTGAACAGTGGAGATTTTGGGGGGACACCTGAAGAGGGAGTAAAGCTTTGTATGCCACAGCTATTTTCCTTGCCCAGGAATGGATCAGCTTCCACTCAGCAAATTTTGACTGTCAACAGGAATAATGTTGATGGCATTTGAGGGAGAGGAGGTTGTGTTTTTATCCAGGCAAATTAATTTTTCAGTGTTCATGTGTGAGCTTACTTCTTTGGAATTTTACAGCCGCTCTGTACAAAGGGAGCTCAACAAACTTAACTAACTAAACTAGACGTGGAAATAAATAACAGTATTTCTGTGTGCTTCAATGTAGTTTTGACTTCAGAGAGTTTGTACCAGCTAATTTGCGCCAGCTGAAAATCTAACCTATAATTTGTGCAAACATTCACTTTAGAAAATAACATTTAGGTAGTCTCTGTAGTATCTAGTAATTTAAATTTCATATGTTTTTCATTTTCAACCAGGTTCAAACGGTCCTCAGCTGTTTACAATAGAGCAATGGGGAAGTCCTGATAAACTGCCCAGAGCTCACACATGGTAAGTCATAAAGGCATAAAACTAGTGCCTTTCTGCATTGTTACGCTGCCAAGAAAGGGGAGAGACTGATAACTAGCCTTATCTAACATATTCTAGCTCCAGATCATACAGCATTGCATAAAATTGGATAGTCTCAAAACTGCACATACATATCTATATATTTATATATATGTATATATATAGAATCCCAAGTTCTAAATGGAAAGAAAAGTTAGTGTTTATATGCTCACACACAGTTGCCAGAATGTAACATGCAGAACTCCAGGAACTAGCAAGGCTCAATTTCAGTATGTTGCCATTGCTTCTTACAGTTTCTAAAAGACACTTGGTTTAGCCTTCACATCAACACATAAAAAGCTATGTTATAAAGTAAGTATGTATAGACTTCTACAATAAATGCAGGTAAATCAACTCAAATTATATTCATTCCAGCTTACTTTTCTCATAAAAGACTTTTTAATTCTATTTTATTGTGTTCCAAGTAGCCTGTAAATTTGGGACTTTTACTCTGGTGACTGCTGCTGCCGTAAGATGTATTTTAGAGAGAAGCAGTAGCTTCTCCCCACTTCATTGTACCCTGTGTTCCAAACAAATGCTACCCATATGTAGCAAATATTAATTCACTATCAAATTTGAAGACATACAGTAGTCTGCAAATTGCCTTAAACACTTGCCAGTTAAACTGACTTTCTGATGAAATTGAAGTATTTTTAATCCCTTCTGCTAGAAGACTTTTCTCTGTATCAAATATATAAGAATTCATTCATGCAAGGTACTCGTAACAGTCTAAATTAAAGCACACGAAGCAAAGCACAGAAGTGTATTGTGTGCTGAAATGTTTTACTGAACGTAGGTGTAGGATCCTCACCTCCTCCTGAGATAAAGCCCAAGATCTTACGGATTGTCTTAACTTGTGCCCCACTGGCTGAACATCCTGTTTATGTCCACCGCAAAAATATTTTATGGTTTTCCAGTGTCTTTCATGTTAGGAAGACTTTATACATCTCCCACAACCTTCTGGGAAGCTGACAAGCAAACATTACAGATAAGGATACATTGTCACAGAGAAGTACAATGATTCACTGGTGATGCTGCAAATTAGTGGCAGAGGCAGGATGGGAACAGTTAGGAGTTTTGTGGTTCCTGTCAAAACTGGGATTGGGGAAAAGTAGCAGGAGGAATTATACATCTTCTTCCTCTTGAATTATTTTTATATTTTCTGTTTTGTCACTCCAAAGGCTTTGAAAAATACAGGATAGGGCATAAGTTGTCTGAGAGACCAATAAGAAGGGAACGGTATACATTTAAGGAGCGTGTTGGAAGAAACAATGCTGCCTCGCATTGTCGAATTAAAACTATTCGTTGCTTGCTTTCATATGTCTTAGAAATTTATCACCTCTTCATCCTTCCTTCTGGAGATCTGACAAATTGAGGGATATCCACAAGTTGGAAAAGCCAATTGTACAAATAGGGGTTGATAAACTTTTTTTGGCGGGGGGGGGTTGCTGTGCTTCAGATAACACTTCTCTGATCTGAACCACTCTGCAGGCATTTTACTCTCATCATGTTCCCTTTCTCATTTTCAGTGATGTTTTTTCCTCCTCCTGGTAAGTGGGTTTGGTGAACTCTGAAAAGCCTGACTGACCAAAGCACAGCCATAGGAAGCCATGTGGCATAAAGGCCCCAATGTGTTGGATAATTCACTAAAACTATGAGATTAGAGCCTAACCGGCTTAATTTAATCCTTATTTATAGAATTTGCAAATGTTGAAAGCATTTACTACAAATTTTTGTTGCATCTCAAGAGTATGGCTTTTTTTTTTAAGATAAAAAATTGTGCTGTATAAGAAAATTATTATTTAGAACATTAGTACAGAATGGTCGTCTTTCCATAAAAATCACCATTCTGTAGACTAAAAACTTTTATTAAGGAAAAAAACCGAAAAAAGTTCCAAAACCAACCCACCCTCTTCACTTTTCAGTTACTCTTTACATTTTACAGGACCTATTCTTTTTCTCCTCCAGAGGGTAGAAAGTTTATCCTGTAAATTCAGAACATCTCTGCTGAGTCTTTGAAAACATTTCAGCTTTGTCAGAAGGCTGATTTCCTATCACCTGAATATGCTTTTTCTTTTTTTTTTTTTCTTTTTTCCTTTTCTAAGCAGGTTTTAACAGATTCCCACATTCAGCACTGAAAAGAAAGAAGGAAGATGGTTATTTTTGAAAACCGATTTTGGAAACGCAAGCACTTAGCTAGGTTGGCAAAGGGCACTATGGGAGATTGTCCCCATGTGCGCAATAAGATATATCCTTTATTAAGGCCTCCAAATTATATTTAATCTTTTCAATTTCTTTAACATTTTCTTTAACATGTTTTCAATTATTAAATTATTCTTTTCCTTCTAAATTTCAGCTTTAATCGCCTAGACTTACCTCTTTATGAATCTTTTGAAGATTTACGAGAGAAGCTACTTATGGCAGTTGAAAATGCTCAAGGATTTGAAGGAGTGGATTAAAGCAGCTACTTTTTTTCCCCCCCTTCAAGCAAGTTCTGCTTGCACTTTTGCATTTGCCTAATGGACTCTGAGTGACTATGGCAGAACAGTTGCACAATGTTGGTTCATGGAGCAAACACTTCTACAGTGCAGTTGCCTAAATTCAGAAGTTTGAACTGTAATCTGTGGATTGTTTTTCCTGACGTTTCCACAGCAAATTACCAACTGGTTAACGTGTACTCTGATTACATTTCAGCAAGACTTGTTCTATTTATGTTGTGCCTCTGTAGGCAAAGCCCTTAATAAATATTTTACATAATTTCTAATGACAATGAATGGAATTAATCATTTTACAGGTATAGTATTACAACTCATGTTTACTTTTTAATTGATTTAGACATTTTCAGATTTTATTTCATTACAATTAAATCTCATATACTTGGAAAAATGAGCATTTTTCTTATCTTAATTTCATACCAGACTTGATGCCAGTGTCATTTATTCAAAGCGCATTTTGAGCCTCGTGTTCCCAAACCATTAAAGAAAATAGGAGAAAGCTATGTTGGAACTTTTCTGTTCGTGGGCTGTATCAAGAGCAACTCTTAAAAACCTTTTCACCGAGCACATAAATATTTTTCTGTATCCAGAAGAAGTAAGGATTGGACGTTGCTTTTTTTTGTATAGATCAATAGAATAGTTAAAAGTCAAGAGAGAATCATAACATAGCATGCCAGATCTCATGTTCAATAAAGAAATTGCCTCATTATTCCTTGGTAATATTTACATGTACTATAAAACAGTTTGGGGTAGGGTTGGCATTAATCATTTTAGGAAAATATGCGTAACCCTGTCATTTTCTTTGTACAGTGATTCTTTTATTATCCTTTCCTCTTTACTGTTTGCAATGGAGGCATTTTGAATGAAACCTGACACTGCGTGATTTGGCACTATGGAAAACAGAGCTGTTTTTGTCTCCTATTTGTATGCATTTGCTCATGATAACTAAATAACAATATTTTTTGTTTGTTTCTAACTGCACCAACTCTAAAGGCACTTTATGTAACACATGGAAGTCATATCTGTTTTTTATCATAAACATTAATGTGATTATATTCCTTCTCACTGCACATGTCTTTCTGGTGCAATATCTAGCAATTGTGAATTTGGCTGCTGCTGATGTATAAAAGAAAAAAAAAAAAAAAAACCAGATGTAGAGCTGAGCCTGCAGACATGTTCTCACCAGTTGGTTTTGTGATTTATTTTTTACTTAATCACAAAGGTTTAGTTAATATACACTGCTATCTAATCAGTTTTGTTACCTATGACATGTTGCATGCTTAAACTATGATGTCTGAGTTGCATCTGTTGTGTGATGGATTAAAAGTGAGATTTGCATTTGACCTACTGACGTTAACTGGTTACCGTACTACCAGGAGGAGGTCTGAGGGTTCGGCTTTAGCAATTTGGGTATGGTCAGTTTTGTCAGTTTTGCCCCCATACTTTCGACGTGTAGGGTTTTTAACCCCCTAAGAATCCATTTAGCGCTTACCAAGCAAGATACCACATGCCAAATTTCACCTCGTTGCCAACAGCTTCGCTAGCCTGTGCCTGGCCCCGGTACCCACTGGCAAGTACAGTGAGCTGATGCTGATGCTTTCTGCACTACTTGAGGGCAGAAACTTTAACATGTAACTACTTTAGCTACAAAGGCCACTGGAAGAAGACTTAGTGCTAGCAAACGTACGTGTGTGTGTTAGCAAAAAAAAAAAACCTCTGAAGAGCCAATAGGTACCTGGAGAAGTTCTTTTTTTTTAAATTTGAACACAAGGCCAGCTTCATTTTTTTATGAAATATATTTTTCTGACATTCCTTTCTGACATTTTGCATTTGGTGAGCAGAAACGCTTGAACATGAGGAAGAAGGGCAGTGCGCCCTGAGCAGTGCAGCTGGGGAGACACCGTGCTGATGACCAGCCTGACGGGAAGCAGTGTGAGGGAAGGGGAGAGGACAAGGCAAACCCAATGATTTGCAGTGTCTTTCCGTGTTTAGCATTGCTAGTTACAACATGGACTCCCTCTACAGAAATTTCATATTCCAGAATCTGGGTTTTTTGTTTTTTTTTTTCCTTTCTAAATCTCTCTATCATCTGAAGGATTGGGGGTTATGTTCGTGTCCGTTGCCATGTAGCAGAACCTGAAGAACTGCTGAGATGTTTTGCTATGGACTTGAAGTGTAATCTCAGGTATCAATGGAGGATGTGCTCTTGCAGTAGTTAAGCTGGGGTGGAAGCAGAGGTTGGGTTGTGTTTTGACGCTGATACTCCTCTTGTTAATGATCTTATTTTAGTCCCTTCCCTTCCCGCATCCTCAAAGTCTAAAACAGGGTTTACTAATACTGACCTACATCAAAGTCCTTTCAGGCACTGTGTGCTGATAGTTATCAAGAATTACATGGTGACATCAGACTAGAAAGGGCTTTTTTGTTGTTGTTGGGGGTCACTTTTGTTTGTGGATTTCTGTAGAAAATTTAGCGTGAATTAGCTTAACATCTTTCCAGGTGCACTTACCTGCACAAACCGGCAGGCGCTCCAGAAGAACTCACTGGGAATCACGCTAGTGTATGAACTGCAGTTGTAGGAAGCATAACTGATGTGTAGTTGGATTGGTTTGGTTTAGTTTAAGGGAGGAGATTTTTCATTCTTCCAGAAAAAAGTTTTAACATTGAAAAGAAAGCCCTTGAGTCCCTCAAGATGTGCTGTTAATACAGCTGGTAGTTTTGCCTGCGCCGGGCAAGGAGAGCTGAACTAACTCAGGCAACAGTGTCACTGAAATGCATACGCAGCGCCTGATGGACTTCTACAGCTCGTGGTGAATGTTGCGCTATTTTGGCTTTCTTGCCATTAATGCAAATGGTTAAATAATGCTACCGCCTCTTGTGCCTGCACCCTGCAATCGCAGCTCCCTCCTGCGTTGCAGACCCACCCTCGGTGCAGCACCACAGTTGGCTCCACTAGCTTTTGTCTTGGAGCCAGTGTGTTCACATGCCCCCAGCATGCCCCCCAGAACGTAAGGGTGGCGGTGAACATAGCGGTAAGCCAGCTCTTTAGTTTCCAGTATCTGAGGTAGCTACGTTATTACTACACAGCACTGCGTTTTGCCTTTGGGGATGCAGCTTTGTAATACTGCAGATGCTTCCATGGTAGAGTTGGCACTATCCATTTCTTGCTGGGGCCCATAAATAATCTAGAGTCCACGTCCGGAAAGGAGCACAAGTACTTGTCAGGTGAGCTGAGGCAGTCTGCTCGCTCAGGCCCATCCCTTTGGTGCATAAAGCTTTTATGTTGTGTAGCGGAGCCTTCTCATTAGCTAGAATTGACAGGCTGTTACTAAGAAAGTTACATAAATAACAATCGTGGTTTGGGCTATGTTTTGGGTTTTAGCCATCAGTGTAGTTAAACAGCTCTGGCTGCGCTGATGGAAATCTCTACTAAAATGTACTGTTGGTGTCTGCCTTGATGGCTAAACCCTTGGGCAGATATGCCCCTTGCATCAGCCAAAAAGTTAAGATCCTCTACAGTGTGACAAAACCCAGGAAATTACCTTAGTTTTGCAGTAAACTATGAGGCCCAGTACGTGGCATCAGCTTGCGAAGCAGCAAATTTGTTTTCTTCTACACAGCTCTGTAACATAAAGCTTAAGTAAGTGCTGTTCCTGGGCTCCTAAACTGAATGCCAGACTTTCCTTTCTAACATGCTGTAGACTCGAGAATCCTTCTGGGCCGCACAGAGCTAAGCCTGAAGGAATCTTGCTAGGAAAAAAAAAAGTGTCTAAATATGTCATTTACTTCAAATAGCATCTAAAACACAATAAAGCAACTACTCCAATGGGATTTGCACCATAGTCCAGTGCCTTTCTCAACCCAGCTAATTTACCTTGCTTTTACCCCTGTACACTCATAGTTCAGGCTGTTCACCACAAAATGTCCCAACAGCATTTTAAAATGTCAGTAAATAATAATCATGAAAATGGTACATACAGCATTACTTGTCTGCATTTGAGAAACCTTAATCGTGAAAACTTGAGTCACAGTATAGATTATAGAGCCCTGGAGCTGTCACCTCTTCATGTCAAGGCTTTTGGAGCTGAGTGCCTTGTGAGGCTGCTAATTAATCAGTATACACCATCCCTACCACAGTAACTCCAATTTGCATTGCCAGCTGCTGGAAATTGCTGCTTTTTATCCAGAAGTAACAGAATCTGGTTAACAGTCATCCTGACTGCTCCATCTCTGACTTTGGAGCAAAAGGAGCACGAGCAGCACGTTGGCCTGAGCTGCGCACTGAGAAATCAGCGGAGGTGGCTGCGGTATCAGCCGAGCAGGCGTCCAGTGCCCCTCCGGACACATGCGCTGCTTGCATGGTGCGCTCAGCTGACAGCCATGGCTGCAGAGGCCAGCTAACCTTTTCCAGGTGCCACCGGTGAAACCCTGATGGCTCCCAAAGGTGCAGGAGGTGTGTTTAGGAACACAAAACTAGGGAGCTGAAGACAGGGTCCAGGGGGAGCAACTAGATAGTTGCGCTGCATTTCTAGATAAGTAATAAGCCCATGTGAATGCCAGGGCTAATCATCAATGTGTCATGCAAAAAAAGGTAGAATTACCAGACTGGACATCTTAAATGTACATTAATTTTCTTCTGTTTGTTAGTGATAAAAAAACTCCTTTTGTATATAAAATTACAACAAAAAACCCTACAGCTGTCAGATACCTGATGTTGCACTAAAAAGTGATGCATGTTTGAAATGCATGGGAAACTTGTGAAACTGGAATTTAACCATATTAATGTTACATACCTAGCAGATCGTTCATGCTGCGCATTCAGCCTCCTTAGGTAACACAGCCGTCAGCGCAAATCACATTTAGTCATATGTCTATATAGACATTTTAACCAATCTGTTTCTCCACTGATCTGCCACTCAACGTGTTGGTTTTTTCTTTCCCATATTATTTTCATGTAATCTTTGCTCCTTTTTTCTTAACAATTTTATATATATATATATATATATATAGAACATACACAGTATGTACCCACATGCAGTAATGCAGATGGGTGTTGCATTTTTTTCCATGCTTCTCAGCTCCCTTGCGTTGGCTCTGCGAGGTGAGGAGTGGCAGCACCCAGGCGGCAAACTCAAGAAACTAATGGTGTTTTGTTCTACGCTCGTGAACCCACCGTTTTTAATCAAACTTAAACCTGAGACCGTTACTATTGCCACAGGTGAATTAGAGTTTCAGACATGCCAGATAAATTCACACGCTTTCATAACTGTTTTTGTAAAATTGCCTCATACTTGGCAACAATTCAAAATTATGCTGAACTACCTTAAAAATTGATTTTAAAAGTACTTATAGATAATGCTCATTTTCACAATTAAAACAGCTTTGAACTGTGTTTGGATTTGATACACTGTGGGGGAAGGTTTTGTTTAAGGGCAAAAAAATTTTTTTCCATTTATTTTCATAAGAGAACTGAAGGAAATTGTAGTTTGTTCTCCTGACAGCAAAAGCTCAATGTGACAAAATGAAGTTGTTGTAATGAAATGATGCAACTTAAATATTTAATAAAGAATTATGGAAGCTAGAGCATTTTATACCTCAAATATATTTTTTGTCTAACTGAAGCTTGGTTTTGTTTTGTTAAAAAAAATTCTAGCAGTAGGGTCAACGTTTCCTGGAAGGCCTGGGAGGTGGCTGTAGAGCCCTCCCCAAAATGTTAATGTATGTATGTATGTACTACAAAGTAGGATCACCTGGTCGCAACAGATGAGACACAGCTTATTTTAACAACGCAGGTCTATGCATCAGTGCTTTTTTTTTTGGTATTAATATGCAGTGCTACAATTCAAACTTGTTGTAAGAATCATATTTCAGTAACAGCAATAGAATTTATTTTGCCTTTTCTGTTAATCGGTTGCTTTAGAAAAAAAGAAAAACAACACTAAGTCGTCTTTCTGACATGCGGGCTCACCTTAGGAATAGGGCACTTTCTCTTCTGCGCGCCTCCCTTGCCGAGCTCAGCGCCTGAAGGAGATACAGCTCGTCTCTCTTAGTCCTAATTACTATGCAACTTAGCGCTCAAACTCTCTCTGGGCTCCTACCAGTGTCTCATTAAGCATCACCTACTTGCAACGCTGAGCTGACGGGCAG